GACTAGAGCAGTGGTTCTCAACCTTCCTAATGCCGCGACCCTTTAATACAGTTCCTCATGTTGTGGTGACCCCCATCCATAAAATTATTTTCGTTGCTACTTCCTAACTGTAATTTTGCTACTGTTATGAATCATAATGTAAATATCTGATATGCTATATGTGTTTTCCGATGGTCGTGACCCACATGTTGAGAACCGCTGTTAAAGTGTACTTTATCTAAAAAGTTTTTCCTCAAAGTGTTTTACTAACCTTTTGAATAGAAGAAAGAGTAAGTCAGTGTTGGTAACTGACCAGACCATTACCAGCTGTTGTAGTCTAGGAATAACCTCTTCCCTTTGTATTCTCACCTTCTGTGTGGACACGACTGCCGCATGTCCCAAATCCTTTGCAGCATGGTTGGGAGATCCTACAATTATAATAATATTTCTCTCACAGCGGATTTTCTTGGCACTCATCAGCACATTCTGAAGGATCTAGTTTTATTCTGTTTTGATATTTTCTCTGGTGACTGTGTGTGTGTGTGTGTGTGTGTACACATGCAGAATAATCAGAGGAAAAACACATATATAGCATTGTGTCATAAATTTTACCGTGCTTATATAGTTCCCAGTTCATCTAACTTTTTCAAAGTTTTGCTGAGATTTACTGTCAAGTCACCCCTAACATTAACTACTTCCAATGTAGTAATCTCCATTCTAATAACATTTCAAAACCACACAACATGTAACCTCATACCTATGGTCTCAGAAACTGGGTTACTGGAAATGCTAGTTTCAAAATATTTCTTTTTTGTGAAATACTACGCAATAGCTTAGATATTTATGAAACAAATGAGCAAACATTATTGTACTCTTATATTATATTGATTCTATGGCAAAGTATACTCTCTAGAATCTCTGAAATTTATATATATAATCATTTTGTTTAATTATCTCATTTCAAACCTTTACATGTGAAATCTATAGGGACAGAGGAGTAAATGTACTTATCAATCCATTGTCACTGAACCTTAGAAAAACTCCACATAGTACTATCAACTTTGACGAAGAAAGAGGAAGGAATAGGAAGGATAGCAGAAAGAGGAGGAGGAAGAAGAGAAGGGGAAAGGGGATGGGGAGAGGAAGAGAAGGGGGAGGAACAAAAGGAGGGAATGGGTTGGGGAGGGAGGAGGGAAAGAAGAAAGAGAAGGAATAAAACAAGGAAAATTAAAGGAATTATTCATGTTAGGAACTCAGCATAACTCTTTAACTCAATTTGTATGCACTTTGATGAATTTGATTGAAGTCAATTCATTTTATTTTGATATAAGCTAATACAAGTTGAGATACAGCTAGCACTTTGATACTCGATTAGTGTATGTTTCACTATAAAGATACGATTTTGGTGTCAGGAGCTTTATCTGTGCATCTGAGCAGTCAGAAGATGATGTTTGAACAAACAACTAAGTGAGGTATAATTAAAGGAATATCTTTAATCAAAGTTTCAGGAGTGTGTAGTTTTCAAAACACATATTAATTCTATGTGGTGGCAATTCAAAAACAATTCCTTAGTCTTCCATTCCAGACCTTAGTTCTCTGTGGCCAGTTAAGCGAATCCTGCAGTTTGGTAACTGCTACACTGCACTCCAGCTAAGACATTTCTGCTTGCTGCTGGGGAGGCAGCATCATCCATCCGCATTCAAGCTTTTTGTGTGTTGATTTTCTGCGCACTCCATGCTTGAAGACACACAACTTTCACAACCTCTCAGGTTTACAATAATTTCATTTTCTCTTGATCCCACAATAATATTTAAAGGGTGAAATTCACTTAGTATTGTTTTCTGTTACTTATGTAAATAACTTTTTTCTTCATTAATTTGCTGATTTTTAAAAAGGATTAAGCAATATATAAACTCTAAAGCTTATATTCAATACTTAATAATTTGAATGAACTATTAAATAACCCATCTAATATAACCTTCATTATATCACTAAAGAAGTTTGTAATAAATAACATTATTTTAAAAAGTTTTGTGTGATTAATAAGTGATTAATGATTGATATATATATATTTTTTTTTCATTACCACATATAGAAATGTGTATGTATATACAGGGGTGGGCAAAGTAGGTTTATATTTGTTCATATGGAAAAATAAATAAATAAATAACACAAGATTAAACTGTGTTTTGTGTACTAACAACTGTAAATCTACTTTTGCCAAAGCATGTATGTGTTCCTTTTAAAATTAAATTCCCCCTAAAGAATAATCAACAAAAAGGAATATTGGCCTATCTATAAAAGATAGTTCATTGAGTTTTAAAGTGAAAATTGACTACTTCTAAAACCAAGCCAATTAAGCCATGGGCCTCATTTTACAATCCCAACCTAGACAAAAAAAAAAAAATAAGTCAGGTGCCCAAATGCTGAGACCAACTCCAGCCCCATCCACTCAGGAATCCTTGCCAGAGACCCTGGTCAGCCATGGGGCCCATCCTATGGCCAGCCTGGCAGTGGACCATGCCACCCGTTCTGCATGATTGAGCAGAGCCTCCATCCTTACCTGACCAGGAACCCAGCTACACACCACAGGCAGCTGTAGAGGCCGTCCTCTAGCCCTGTCAGACAGAGAACCTACCCAGCAACCTCTGGCCCTGCCTGACCATGGAGATTGGCAGTGACCATGAGCAGCCTTAGAACCCAGCCTATATGACCATCCCACTGTGGAGCTCAGCACTTATCCCCACCCGGAAACAGAGCCCATCCTATAGCCCTGCCCAACTGCTGAGCGCAGCTTGTGGCTATACCCAGGCAAAGACACCTGCCAGCAATCCTTCCCAACCATGAAATCCAGCAGGTTACACTGCTCTCACGTGAAACACAGCCCGTAACTCCGTACAATCAGAAGTCCTACTTGAATGTGGAGATCAGCCAGCAGCCCCTCAACTACAGAGGATGGGCAACAGCCCTGCCCATCTAAAGACCAAAACAGTAAGCCTCACCTGCCTGGAAACATTACCAGCTGGCCTGTCCATAACCCCAAACTGAACCGACTAATGAAGGGAACCTCTAAGTGCTGGAAGAGGAGGCCACTTCCCCGCAAAAAGGATACCAATGCAAAGATAATATGATCCAGGGGTCCTCAAACTACGGCCTGCGGGCCACATGCAAATACAAATATTGTATTTGTTCCCATTTTGTTTATTTACTTCAAAATAAGATATGTGCAGTGTGCATAGGAATTTGTTCATAGTTGTTTTTTTTAAAACTATAGTCTGGCCCTCCAACAGTCTGAGGGGCAGTGAATTGGCCCCCTGTTTAAAAAGTTTGAGGACCCCTGATATGATCACTAAGAAGATGGTCAATAACTGATTCTAAAGAAATGGAGATCTATGAACTATCTGAAAAATATTCTATGTGGTGGCAATTCAAAAATAATTTTAATCTTCTTAAAATGTTCAGTGAATGCACAGATAGACAACTAAACAAACCTTGTCAATGCATAAACAAAATTAGAAGTTCAACAAAGAAACAGAAGCCATAACCCCCCCCCCCAAAAAAAACCAAACCCACACACACAAAAAAAAGAAAAACCATACGCAGAATCCTAGAACTGAAGAATACAATAATTGAACTGAAAAATTCAACAGCAGAGGAAGAACGAGTGAACTCAAGAAATCACCTAAAATTAACTAGTTAGAGGAGCAAAATGAAAAAAAAAATACAATAAAGGAGTGAAGAGTCTATAGTACTTATGAGACAACATCAAAAGAAACAACATACAGCCATAGGACATCGTTTCAGTCCATGATGGACTGCATCTACAACAGTGGTCCCATAGATTATAGTGGAGCTGAAAAATCCCTATCACCTAGTGATGTCATAGTCCTCGTAATGTACTATTGCAACATATTACTCGTGTGTTTGTGGTGATGCTTGTGTAAATTAATCTGTGCTGCCAATCATATAGAAGTATAGTGCACATAATTGATAGTGACAGTGAACAAATATGTTTTGGTTTATGAACTTACTATAAATACTTTTTAAAGTGTACTTATTCTGCTGGTAAAATTGTTTGCTGTAAAAACAGTATGCCATGTCATCTAGATAGCAGCCTCAGATATCTTGCATTTACTTTGTCTCTTGATTGCATTATCTTATCTTGTGCTTGATTTAATCAGTGTTGTTTTGTTTATTCTCTACAAGCTTATAGCCTAAGAGCAATAGACTATAGCATATATTCTAGGTGTGAAGTACCTATACCATTCATGTTTTGTGTAAGTTTATGATGTTTCCACAATGCCTAAATTGCTTCATGGCACATTCTCAGAATATAACCCTGTTGGGAAGTGACAAATTGATGGAGATAAAGGGAGAGAAAATTTATTTTAAAAATAATGGCTAAAAACTTCCCAATTGTGGGGAGACAAATGGGCATCCAGATTCATAATGCCCAAGTATCCCCAATATACTGAACCTAGAAAGAATTACACCAAGACACACAAACTGTCAAAAGTCAAAGACAAAAAGAGAATTTTGAAAGCACAATGCAAACATATATGAAAATATATGAATATATAAAATCACTAATAAAGGTAAGTATATAGTCAAATCCAGATACTCTAGTATTGTAATGGTGGTGCATAAATCACTTTCAACTTCAGTTTAAAAGTTAAAATAAAAGGTATTAAAATAACTGTTTTAATAAAAGCCTAATATGCAAATGGTCATGATGCCCACACGTGTAACGACCGATCAGCTGGAGGCTGCGTGTGCAGCAGGCACAGGTGGGCGGGGACTTGCAGCGTCAGGGACTTGTGTGTGGCCCGTGTCTCCACCCCCGGGGCCGCACACTCACAGAGGCTCACGTCCCTGCCCCCGGCGCTGGGCCCGGGGATCTGAGGCTCGGGGCCCTGCCCCCATCACCAAGCCCCGTG